AACTTGGAAAGATAACAGATAAAGGAATGATAAAGATGAAAATCTTGGAAGTAAGGAGATAGGCTTGCTTATCACTACTAGTAATTCATAGGCTAACTTGAATGTTCTCATGAAAAGATCTGAAGCCATTGTTGTGTAAGGAATCAGCTGCTTGGTGTGTCAGCTCAGCAAGTAAGGTGAAGGTACAGTACACGTGAACTATATTGCAAAACTTAGGTTGTGTCAGACATGTATCCTGGAAACAGGTGAGTTTTTAAAAAATAATTAGTTGTCCTTTCATTGGATTGTAAGAATTATTGCTAAGAAACGGCACTGTGTGCCTGCCAGAAATGGAAATTTAAAAAAAAAAAATATTTTGTTTTAGATTCAGCCTTTTTTTCCTTATAGGAAAAATCCAGGGAGAATCCAGAAGAATAAATTTATTCAACTCTGAGTTAGCTCAGATCAATAGCATGATAGTCACTATGTAAAAATCTAAGATAGTTAGAACTGGTCAATTTGACATGTTTCTCCCTTTCCTCTATTATGTTTCCAAATGTACATATGGCAGGAAAATTAAACCCCTCTCAGCTCATTTACAGTGCAGGAGGCAATAAGACATATTCTAGGGATCTGAAGGAAGCACCTGACAAGTAGGAGTTGCACTAGTTTGTGTTAATCAGGAAACCAGGATCCTTAGTACAAATGCTGGAGAATTATAAATAGCAGCACAAATTTAGAGAGTGAAAAATGAAGATGCTCCATCGGTTTTTGGCTGTAGTCTTTTTTTTTAATCATAGGGAATTATAATTTTAAAATATTTTTGCTTAGCACTTTACATTAGGGATGTAATAGTTTAGTAGATTAACTGATAAGCTTTTGCTTATCGGTTAATGCTATAGACTACATGTACTCCTCCCCTTCCCCCCCCCCCCCCCCCCGCTGAATTGGCCCGCGGGCCGGACTTTGGACATGCCTGCCATAGTGGGACAGCAGAATAGAAGATTACTCAGCTTGTGCAGAAACAGGAGGTTTTTTGAGATGGTTGTCCCTGTGGGTGCTCCATTTAGGTGTTTTGGCACCCTGTCTTCTACACAGAGACTTTTGGTAGCGGAGGCAGAGACATTTGCAGAGCCCAGGGCAGCACAATTTCGCGCATGCACCACGGCCACAACCGACAGGTAGTAGCGCATGCGCGGGGCCCTATTGAAGCGCGGGGCCCAAAGCAGCCGCCCCACTCGCCCTGCCCTATATCGGCCTCTGTTAGGAGCCAGGTGGGCAGGCAGCATGGTTCAGTTCCAGCTCGCACTGGGTCCAGGAGCTCAGACCCTCATTCCCTCCTCTTTGTCCCCACCCCCCAGAAAGGGGCTGCTGCCATTCCATGCTGCTGCCTCCGATACGCACAGGGTGGCAGGCAACCAGTACACAAGGGAAGCTGGTTTTTAAACTGGCTCCTCTCATGGACCAGCTCCTGCCTGGGATCCCACGCTGCTGTCTCTGATACAGCATGGAGTGGCAGGGAGCTCCTCGGCAGTGGGGCCAGAGCGCACTGGCTGCCAGCCCCACCCCCAGGGACTATAGAATAGTCGAGTAACTAATAAGAATTCATGAGGTTAATCAGCTATTCAACTGACTGATATTTAACATCCCTACTTTACATTTTCAAAGCATTTCATCACCATTAACCATTTGTCAAGTGAGCTAATGCCCTCACAATGGAAATATTGTGGGGGTTCTACCCTTGTATAAACTTCACATAGTGGGGGAGGGGGAACAAGAGCAGGACCCAGAGTGTGGAGCAGGCCACCACAAGGGCTGGGAAGCAGGGAGAAGGATCCAGAGGGACTGGAGTTGCTGCTACAAGGTCCATGATTAGGCTGCAATGGGGCCCAGGATCAGGTAGAAACCCTGGAGGGCCTCCTTCCCCACTGGAGCCAGGTGTCAGCCTCTCACCAAGCCTCAGTACTTCTCCTTTCTCCCCCTCCTATTCATCTGCCCCCATGGGTCCAAATCAGCCATTCATTTTCTAGTGACTTTGCTCACTGAATTCAATGGGATGTAAAATTATTCCTATGCATAAATGTTGGCAGAATCAGGCAAAGACTGCCTTTTAGAAATAATCCTAAAGTTCATTGTCTTTTGCACACAACCAGGGTAACTCTCTCTGTGGCTTGTTTTTCCTGTGTTCTCCTTTTCTGGTGAATTTGTAAATAAATGTGCATCCTTTTTGTTAGGTTACAGAGCTTAATTTACATTGTGACAGAGAAATATCCATTTCTTATCTCCTGCCTGGAGAAAAATCCATTTTTCACTGTTGCTGGTGACTAATACCTTGATACAGACTTTAAAACAAATTCAGTGTACAAACATAACTTCAGTGGTGCGGGAACATTTTTAAGAGTGGAGGTGTTAAGCTGTCTACCTCTAGTTGAAGCTGTGATCAAAGCCCCAGTACCAGGAGCTATTAGCCAGGAGCCTAGGCATGGGGCAGAGAGCAGAGGCCTCTGGTGTACGGAGCTCAAACTGAGACCCCAGCATATTTGGCTGGCAGCCAGGGTTGCCAGGTGTCCGGTTTTGAACTAGACAGTCCAGTATTTGAGTTTTCTGTTTGGGAAACAAATTGAGAAAATAGAAATGAGAAAATAGAAATGTCCGGTATTTTTCAAATAAGATGTAATGTAGATTGTGATGTAAAGTCAAGTGTGTCCGGTATATTTGTTGAAACCATCTGACAACCCTACTAGGAGCAGAGCCCTCAACATGAAGGAAGCTGTCAGGAGCGTGGGTGCTAGGCTGGGAGCCCATGGGTGCCGCAGTACCCCCTGCATCCCTAGTTCCCATGCCTAGCCATAACTTCTTACATAATGTCTGCACATATAACTCAACACTATTAAGGCTAAATATGACAGTAGCTTTCCTTTTAAGCCTTTCATGATGTTCTTTGGTGGACCAAAATGTACATACTGGAAAGTTCCTGTATCCTTCTTGCAGTTGGCATTGAGGAGTTCCTGGGTCCCAAAGCAGAGAAAAGGAGAAGATAACTGAACTGCCTAGGAGCTAGAATTAGAATTGGGAAATATAGTAGGACTATAGAGTTATGAACACCAGAGTTACAAACTGACCAATCAACCAGACATCTCATTTGGAATTGGAAATATGCAATCAGGCAAAGACAAAAAGATAGTACTGTGTTAAAACAAATGACTAAAAAAGGGAACGCAGCATTTTTCTTCTACATAATAAAGTTTCAAAGCTGTATTGATTCAATGTTCAGTGGCCGTATATGTTAAAACTATATTATTTTGTTAAGAGTTATAAACATTGCAGAGTTGCAAACAACCCTCCATTCCCAGGTATTCATAACTCTGAGGTTCTATTCATTTCCATTCTTAGTATGCTGGACCACACTGCTTCTCCTAGTGCAGCACTGTTTTTCCAAAATATTTAAGTGGGAAGGACCCATCCAGTAGATGAGCCATAGCCCCACTTTTTAGACAAAGCAGATAAAGAGCATGGCCACCATACTGTATGCTTCTGCCTTTAGTTCTTGTTTTAAATAGGTCAGTGTGGTGAAAAAGCTTTGGGGGCAGGCCATGAAGGGGTCAGTGGATCCACACTTACATCAGTACATGTCCTAAGCACACCACACATTTGGTTCAGGGGGCAATAGTCAATATTCCAGTTCAGACAGGAACAAGCAGCTGTCGAGGTGCTACAGTGCATGCAGCCTGGTCACAGACTGGGGATTGATATACAGGCAGTCCCCGGGTTACGTACAAGATAGGGACTGTAGGTTCTTAAGTTGAATCTGTATGTAAGTCGGAACTGGTACATATTGTAGGGGTAACTCTAGCCAAACATTTCTCCAGAGCTCAGTTTTATTCTCCCACACCTCACTTCCCTCAGTCCTTTATTCTCAAGCTGAGGTGTCTGCTGAGAAAAGCCGCTCCGTGTCTCCCTGGTCTGCTGGGGGGGGGCGCTAGCTTCGCATCTCCCTGGTCTGCTGTGGGGAAGCAGCTAGTGCGGGGTTGCCTCACCCCGTTTGTAAGTAGGGATCCGATGTAAGTCGGATCCATGTAACCCGGGACGCGTCTGGGCTGTCTGCTGCCCGCATGTTCCGCTGCTTTGCTTCCTCTCCCTGGTCTGCTGGAGACCAGGGAGAGGGAGGGCCCCGCTTGTAACTGCGGATCCGATGTAAGTCGGATCCGCGTAACTCGGGGACTGCCTGTATATAATTTTTTTTGGTCTGATCACACAGCCTTGTTACTTGGACTTTGTGTGAAAAGAGGTGGTAGTCAGCCGCAGTGGTCGGAATAATTTTTCTCAAGTGGTTAAAAATTCTGTTTAATAAGATTCTTACTCGGGGTGATTTGCATTATTGTCCAAATAATGATTGTCCCACTACACAAAAAGACCTGAAAAGAGGCCTGGAGACTGGTGATTATCCTCCTGTTACAGTCAAACAGAGAAATAACACTTTCCTAAATTTCTTTTCCAAAAGCTGGTATCTTTTAGAGATGTCAAATATTGGTTAATTGAATAACCTCATGATTCTTATTGATTAGTCGACTATTCTATAGTTCCCGGGGGCGAGGCTGGCAGCCTGTGTGCTCTGGCCTCACTCCTGAGAAGACCCCTGCCACTCTGCACTGCTGCCTTTGTATCAGAGACAGCACCATGGGGTGCCAGGTGGGATATGGTCTGCAAGGGGAGCCCATTTAAAACCCAGCTCCCCTTGTGGACCTCTGCTGTCACCCTATGTTGCTGCCTCTCATAAAGAGGCAGGAGTGCGGGGTGGCAGCAGCCCCTGTCTAGTGGGTGGTCTGAGTTCCCAGACACCATGTGAGCCAAAACTGAGCTGGGTTGCTGGCTAGGCTGCTAAAAAATGCACTGGCAAGTGGGGTGGGGGAGATATGAGTAATCGAAAGCATTAACTTTTGCTTTCGGTTGATTAGTTAATCAATGACACTTTTACATCCCTAGTATCTTTATTTTCTATTCTCTCTCTCTCTCTCTTTCAGGACAGTTATTCTGAGCGAAGGACCCTGCAAGGCCTACTAAGCGGTTATCATGGGCTTAATTGCATTTTTGAAGACTCAGTTTATAGTTCATCTTCTCATTGGGTTTGTCTTCGTTGTGAGTGGGTTGATCATTAACTTCGTCCAACTATGCACGCTAATCCTCTGGCCTATAAACAAGCAGTTTTATCGCCGAGTAAACTGTCGCCTTGCCTATTCGCTCTGGAGCCGTGAGTATACTTTGGTGGGGATCAGGCTTTAAAAAAATTGAGTAGGGCTTTGGTAAATCCTGAAACCTAGTGGAAAAGGGCATTGTGTCAGATGAGCAACACACTTGTGACTTCATTGACACTCCTAAAAGGAGCCCATCAGAGACCCCCTGCTGCCCTGCCACATGGGAAATTACCGGTACTGTTGTCGTCTTTTATAAATATCTTCTAGATTCCATGCAGAAATCCCTGTTGATGCAGCATTAAGAGGACACACTCTTCCTCTGCTTGTGCCCTTTGTTTTGCCTGCCTTGTCTCCTGTCACAAGTAACTCTGCCTTTTCTCCCACCATCGCTTGTGTTTGGTTCTGTGAATGGTACTATGTTGCTCTCCTTCATAACCCACCCAAAACCTCCCTTCTTTCATTGGCTTCCTCCAATCTAACAACGCTGTTCTCTCACTGGACTTTGTTCCCTCTTTAGTAGGGGGCACAATTTCTAATATGAGTGTTTAACATTAGATGCCTAAATCCATATTTAGGCACTTACCTCAGTGGCCTGATTTTCAAAAAGAGCTGTTTGCTGAGCACCCAGCAACTTGCACTAAAGTACTCTTGAAAATTAGACTACTAAGGTAGATCCCTCAATAGGGATTTAGACCTCTAACATTAGATGTTAGTGCTTAAAAAAAATTATGAGCTCAAAAATATTATAAACAAATATACTCTGTAGAAGTAGCAGCGGAAGCTTCCTAAAAGAAAGGGGGGGGCACTGGTGCCCAACTGTAGCCCTACCCATGTGCCGCCTCTTCTCCTGAGGCCCTGCCACTGCATTGCCTCTTCCCCTCCCCCCCACAAGGCTCTTTGTCCCCCTCCTTCCCACCTGCTTCCTTCATCATTTGTCCGTACGCTGGGTAAAAACTGGAGGGGTCATAGCCCCAGGTCCCCTCTGTTCCATTATCCCTTCTCTATAATGCCAAAAATATACATCAAATAGTAGAGGAGGCAAAGAAAACTGCCAGAAAAAAACTGTTTTCAAGCTTAGGAGGGGAGGATATTTCAAAAATACTTTTTAAAAATAGTCACTGTCCTCTTTATGTCAAAGTACAGCCCTGCAAACCTTTATTCACTCAAGTAGTTGTATGGTCTTGTCTGAAAGAATGGCCTTCCTGTATCATCAAGGATTGATTTGCAAATTTAGGCTCTTAGCTTATACGAGAAGCTAATATCAATTAAGTATTGAGAATTATCCACTGTGTAATAGTTAAAATCAGATTATATTTTGAAATGTCTATATCCATCTATTGGCTATACTGAAAATACCATATACTTATGCTCCAAAAAGGAATGTAGCAGTTGAGTAAGATCCTAGGTGCAATCTAGTTATAGTATGTAATGTGCTAGCTTGAAGCCTGCTATACCAGGGGAGGCCAAACTGGTTGGCAATTCACATGTGGCTCTCTTACCGCATGTGCAGTAAGTGCAGCTCGCAGAGCCCTCCCTGCTGCCCCCTATTCTCTACCTATCAGATGGAGGGGAGCTCAGGCCCTCTGCCTTGCAGTGGGGTAGTGGAGTAGGGACTTTTGCCCAGAAGGGAGAGGAGTCCAGGGCTTCACACTTGGCATGACTTGGGACTTCAGCAAGAGCATGTCTGAAGCCCCAAGCCCTGACAGGAACCTCTTCAGGTACTGAAGCCACGGCCACTGGCAGGCACACCTTAGCTCTCAAACTTCTGAAGATTGTTTATGCAGGTGGGAGGGCCAATAAGTTTTGCCACCCCGTACTATATATACATTTAAAATATGTGAGAAATTAAACGATGAACCTTAGGGTGTACGGTATAAATAGGACTTAGGTTTTAACAGTGCTAATGGCCTGTAATGGAAAAACTGACGGAACATTCAGTTTAATTGTGGTTTATAATGAAGAAAGTAACATAGCCTTATAAACCTACCAGGGCAAGTGGTGCCATTTATAACATCAATAAAGAATACTAATGTATTTTAGGAATTGAGCTATAGTTAGCATTCAATTCTTCCTCATTGGTTTTAATCACTGACAATTTACTTAGAAATGTTTCTTTTAAGCTGGTGTTTCTCGTGCCAGTTTTCAGCTTAAAGATAACTTCTAAAAAAGCAATTTCTGCAAAAACCATTCAGTCCAGCTTTGCGCTTTGTAATTTTTTTTCTTGGTTTTATGAGGTATTCGTAATATTGTAATGCTTATCTAGGACAATTGTGTCATGAGCCTGAGATGTTATTGTAGGACCGATGGGATTCCAGGTGAATACATCTCCGGTGATTTTTGGATAACTGGTGATAGTGAGAGAACAGGAAAAACAAAGATGGATTCAAACTTCCATCTTGGCATATGCAGAATTACTGTGACAGATATTGAAACACCTTGCAGTTTCTGTCTATTGAATTATGAATGTGTTCTCCTCTGTGGAGGAGGGTTACTATTGCTCCTTCAGGAATTAAGAACAGTGATGGAGAGATTAAGGCTTGTCAACGAGAATAAAGAGTTCTGTTGCGGTACCTCCCTGAAGTGTTTTGCATACTGAGTCAACGAGAATAAAGAGTTCTATTGTGGTACCTCCCTGAAGTGTTTTGCATACTCTGGTTCAAAGTGGGTTTTCTAGAGGCTCAAACCAAGAAAGAGCTCTTGGTATACACAGGCTGAATTTGAAGTGACGTAGTGCCATCTTTCTGAACCAATAAGCCAACCTTAACTTTTGTCGAAGGGGCCCAGGCTGGTTGAAGGATTGAAAGCACTTTGGCCCCATAAGGCCGATGGCTGTTACCTCATATGTTTAGTATAGGTTTAACTCTGATTTTTTTATACATTTTCTCTGTGAAACTTTTTCCTTAAGAATAAATGTCCCTGCTTAGAAAGAACGGTTTGGATTACTGGTAAACCACACCTGTCATAGTCCTCAGAGAGAAAGCACCCAACCACTGGCTGTTAGCAGGCTTGCTGGTGTAAGACAGGGGTCTGTACCGCCTTAAAACTGCTGATCAGAATGGAGTGGGACAAGGGTCCCTGTGAAGAGACAGACAGGTAGTAGCAGGAGTTCTTTGAGTGCTTGCTCATGCCCATTCCATGTTACGTGTGCATGCTTGCCACATGCACTGGTGCCAGAAGTTTTTCCCTCAGCAGTATCCACAGGGAAGTGGCTCTGGCGACCTCTGGAGTGATGTACACATGGCATGGTATAGGGGTACCACAGGCTTCCTCTTTCTTCAGTTCCTCTTTGCCGCCAGTGATAGTGCTGGAACTTTCTGCTGCCTTGTGCTAGGGTTGTTGGTCATTCTGCCTGACAGCCTCGTTTCTTATAAAATACTTTGTAGTTATAGTTATCCCCTTCTAGTTTACAGTGAGTTAGAATTAGTTAGTTTGTCCCAAATGGGACTTTGCCTCTTGACAGGGCATGCCTGAATCTCAGTGTTTTAAGCCATGTGATCGCTAGAAGTGTCCCATGCCCATTGGCGATCCACATAGCGACTGCCTAAGGTGTCTGAGAAAAGAACCTGTCAGCAACAAGTGTTGCATTTGTAAGTCATCCGAACCCAGAAAAAAAGAGGGAGAGGGACATTAATTTGGGGCACTCCTGATGGAGTCGGCATTAACACCAGCACCAGAGCAAAGGTCCAACTCGGCACCAAGCACCACAGCATCAGGGCAGAAGGCCACACCAGTGCTATCGTGCAGCGGCACTAATCTCCCCTGCCCCCTGGCTACCTCCACGAAGTCTAAGAAGTTTGTGAGGGGAAGATCTCCTGCCTCCCATAGGGAAAAGAAAAGGCCAGAGGAGAGCCTGCGTTGAGCAGTTCAACTCTTCCATTGGGGTCTTTGGCACCAGCTCAAGTCGAGCAGCATAGCCCACCCTGGGCCAGGCCTGCTGCACTGGACAGCAGTGAGGGCTTTCAACAGATAGGTGTCCCATCAACGCTGGATACCCTGCAGGCCATGCAAACTATGTTGACACTACAGTGCCACCCACACCAGCTTTCGCAGTTCCCAGGTCTAAGGGAAAACCCACTTTGGAACCTCTGCGCAGGTGCCCATTCTCTGTCTCAGGGAATGTTCCACCAGCATTCGCCAGTGAGGTGCTCACATGCCTTGGACACAGGGAGGTAGGCCCACAAAAGTCCTTTTTGGTTGCTGGGCATTGAAAGCCAGGAGTCTAGAATCGGTGCATGTGGCACGCACACCCACCTATTGCGGAATGGACATGAGCAATGCATCTTGAAGAACATTAGCTATGGAACAACTATCTTTTCTGACACCTGATTGACACTCTGGAGTGGATGTTGGGGGGGGGGATACAGGTGTAGGTCCCCTGAAATTGTGACAGTTGCCATTTAGTTAATCCTCCCCTCCCCCCCCCCAAAAAAACCTCTTTGATGTGGAATTACTGAGAGATAGTAAATATGTAACACCTCAATGCCATGTTTACAGAATCACTTTTCAAAGTACAGCCATGCTTTGGAATTAAAGCTACTGCATTATCAACTCAGGGTTTTGACCTGTTTGTTGCCCCATGTCATGAATTTAGAAAAGTGTCTCAATTTTGGGGTTGGGGGGTTTGGTTTTTTATTTTTGGGTTATTTGGTTGCTTTTTTCCCACCAGTGAAACATTAGTTACCTTTATTTTTTTTTCCACTAAAACTTACTAGCTGTGATATATGTAATCAGGAAGATTATTTGGAGAGGAAGTTATTTACACATGTGCTTAATTTCAGAAGGCTTGACTCTTTTGCTCTAACACACCTGAGGCCAGGTCTACATTACTCAAGAAAGTTGAGCTAAGATACGCAACACCAGCTACGAGAATAATGTAGCTGGAGTTGGCATACCTTACGTTGAATTTGTGTGGCTTCCTCACTGCAGAAGATTGATGGGAGAAATTCTCCTGTTGACTTCCTTTACTCCTTGCGATGCCATGGAGTACTGGGGTCAATGGGTGTGCCATCAGTAATCAATTAAGAGGGTCCTTACTAGACTTGCTAAATCAAACCCTAAAAGGCCAATCTCAGGGTAAGGATAGACCTGGCCTTAACTAAAATGGTTAGTATGGTGCTTCTGTGAATACCAGTTGCCTGTGATAGTGCTGGAGTTTGTCAGGTTCCCTACAAAGATAAAACACTTCAGAGTATATGTAATTTATGAAGAGAATTCTTTATCTCGGGGCAATTTGTGTCATTACTCCTTTAAGTGACTCATGCTTCTTAATAGGGCAGTATATTTAGTTTAGTCCGGTTGAAGAAATAAAATCTTGGTATCTTGAAACTACAGTGTTTTGCACTTCCGAGTAGTAGATAGATGTATTCAAACACTCTCTGGCTTTCTTTGTTTCTGGATGATTGTCATTTAAAGAGCCCCTCCTCTGGCAAGCTGAAGCTCTAAAATCTGCAAGGAGTTGGACTTAAATTATACACTTGCTTTTTTTGTTTGTTTTTGTTTTTGTTTTTGTTAAAATATTATCTTGTTGGCTTGCAGGCAGGCAGAGTAAATATCCAAACCGTGATGTAAACAACAAATAAAATTTCAGAGAATAAGCCATAGTTTTGACAGGATCAGTCTGAGACTAAATATCTGGAGCCCTTTAAAAAAAATCACCAAAAGAAATAAAAGCCCCATTCAGAGCACTTATCAAGGACAATCTCCTTCCTGGTAGTAACTCTGCTGTTCCCCAACTCTCACATCTCAATATGAGTGCCCGGAAAAACATCTCACACAAATATTTCAGAGTAAATAGTGGGTATGCTTTCACACCAGTGCCTCCATGTCTGGCTTTGTTGAATTTTTGTTCTCTTTGTAGAGGACAGCTTAGGCACAGCCTCCATCTTTGTTTTTTAAGGGAGATTTTTAAGAGCATTGAGTAGAGTTAGATAGAGGAGTTGTAATAACATTGATCTCCAGAAAGTGATAGAAAGGCAATTTGTTCCGTGTCTAGCATAATAAAATTCATTTTTGGCTGCATAAAGGAGCAAGTTATTGACAAGTCAGCAGGATTAAGAATTGATTCTGTGGAACAACACACTGAAGTCACTGAACAATACTCCAGTAACCGGAGCCCCAAAGATATTAAATCCAAGGACAGTTCCACGAGTTGTGGGTCCACTTAGTGGCATACCCCCATTTCTTGCTGTTCATATATACTGGACTTGATCTGGCTGCAGACCTGCTATAGTGGGAGTGGTGGTGCTATTTGCATTGTGGAGCACACGATGATTAAGGCCACATTATGCTATTTGCAGTGAACACATGCAGAAAGTCTGTTTCTTGAAAACCTTGTAATTTGGAATATGACAAGACCTAAATGAGTGGATAAGATTGAAAAAACATGGAGTAGAGAGGGTAACAGCTACAGTGAAGTGTGTTCTAGGAGTTAAATTATATTGAATCCCCTATACAGTTGCTTCTGAAATTGTGTAGCAATAGAACAGGGTTTTACTCTGTCTCACATAAATATTTGACTGTTTAATTCTTTATATGGATGATGAAATAAGAGTTTTACTGATCTCAACAGTGGCTAAGATTTTTTCCACAGGATAGCAAGATCATTTTATAACTTTGCCCATTAATATATAAATTAGCGTGGGAGTAGTTTAAAATATGCCAGCAGTTTGTGAATAAATCTTCCTCACTGAAGCCACCAAAAATGCACTTATTTGCTGTATTTCATAACTTTGAAAATAGGTTTGACCAGGTTTGAGAGAAATCTGTAGTAATAAATTATGCATCCCTGTTGATATTCTCATTTCCTCCCTACTTTAAATCACAGCAGGAAGGAGTCAGACTTGACGTACAAGTTACATTAGTCTCCTCAAGCCCCTGAAGGGACCTTGAATAAATTAAAAAAGTGAATAGGCTTGTGGTTCTGACAAGAAAAGCAACTGAGATAATCAGTCCTGGAGAATCTAGCCCCTCATTGATTAACATGGAATATTTGTTCTCTCCCCCCTCCCCCTTCTCAGACCCCTCCGAGTGTTCTCTTCCCCTCCTCCCACCATTCTCAGACCCCTCAGAGTCTGCTTTGTGTCTAGTTAGAATCAAAATTGAATCCCATCCCATTTAACAATAAGGGAAGGGCAGGTTGGGTTGTGACCACCAAGTGGAGAATCCTACACATAGACACTGTTCCAACTCATCCCACCAGGGCCTTATGAAACAAAGCCGAAGTGCAAAGTTACATTAGTATAAGGATGTAAAATCCTGTTTAATTAGTTAACTGGTTAACCGATTATATGGGATGGCCGGGCCAGAACTATATAACTATATTGTAAATCATCAATAGCTGCAGGATGGATTAAAAAGGTGATTAACAGAGTGGCCTAGAAAAGTTTGGAATAGGATTGGGCTGGACAGATGGTATTAAATGTGATAGAGTTAAGCATTACACCTAACCTGTGTCTTTTTTCCTCCCTTCCCACCCATATTATTCAGAGTTAGTAATGTTGCTGGAATGGTGGTCAGGCACAGAATGTACTTTATTCTCAGACCAGGCCACAGTGGATAAATTTGGAAAAGAACATGTCATCATCATCTTGAATCACAACTTTGAAATTGACTTCTTGTGTGGTTGGACCATGACTGAACGCTTTGGAGTGTTGGGGGTGAGTGATTCCGTAAACTTTCCCTTCATCTTGATTTAATATAGAACTACTGTGGTTGGTTGGTTTGCTTGTTCATTTTTTGTAGTGGGATTTTCTAAAGACCTCCCATTGACTTTAGTTTGGTCAGAGCCATGCTAGTGTTGAGCACTCCTGAAAATCCCAGTCGTATTGCTTTTGTTTAGATCTGACATATATAAATAATCACATGTTATTGGGTGGGGTTTCTTCCAGAGTTCCAAAGTTCTTGCAAAGAAAGAACTCTTGTATGTGCCCTTGATTGGTTGGACGTGGTACTTCCTTGAGATCGTTTTCTGCAAGAGGAAATGGGAGGAAGACAGAGATACAGTTATTAAGGGATTAAAATGTTTGTCTGATTATCCTGAATATATGTGGGTAAGTGCCTGATCCTTTATATATAATGTCTCGTCTGCTTAAGAGTTGAATAATGAAAACTGTATTTGTGAGATGTCATCTTAAAGCTCCTTAAGCTCCACCTTCTTTCTGTGATTACATGTGAATATGTCTTGTTTCAATTGAACAGTGCACAGTAATCTGTCTGTTAGGTATACTAACATCCTTATTTCGAAATATCTTATTTAAATAAGTTATTTCAAAATAACATGTATACACACAATATGCATTTCGAAATAGCGTTTTGCTATTTCAAAATAGCGCGTCCACCCTGAGTGGACGCTGAATCGCATTTGAGGCCGGCCAGCACCAGGTCCGGCAGGGCATCAGGTCAGGGCTTACTTTGTGTGGCTGGTGCCTAAGGCTATCTGAGGCCTGTGCTTAAAGGGACCCTCTCCCCCTTTCTCCCCGCCTCCGCCCCCAGACAGCCGGTTCTCAGCTTTCCCTGCTTGCTTGCCTACCTTGATGAGGGACAGCAAAGCATTTTGTCTCTGCATGCTCTGGTTGCCCTCACTTGGGACACCACAGCACTCTGCAACATGGAGCCAGAGCTCCCCTGGGCACTCTGGTGCTTCTCATGGACGCATTGCTGCGAGCCTGGCTGCACTTTCCGCAGGCTGCCATCCGGGAGTCCGCCGGGGGGCTGTCAGTATCCAGGAGGCCCTGCAGGAGAGCTTCCACCCTGAGAGCCTCCCTGGCTTGTCCTGCTGGGGACTTGTGCCTCATTCCTCCCTCACGTCCTTCCACTTACCCCTTCCTAACCCCCTTCCTGATGTCAAATAAAATACACGTATCTTCATGAACACAAATGCTCTTAATTTAACAAAGCTGGAGGTGGGGGGAATGAAACCCTGGTGAGACTGGGGAAAGGAGGTGGGAGAGGGGAAGAAAGGGTGGGAGAGGGGAGGGGGAAACCTTGGAGGAGGGAGCTGGAAGGGGGAAGCAAAGGGAAGAAGGGGGAGGGGAAGCTCAGGGTTGTGGGTCTTGCTGGACCAACGTGATTTTCATGCGAACCTGCTCCTGGGTTCACATGTGGCCTTTGGTGTCCAGGCTGGCAGCTATTCTGCCATAGATGGCTACGTTCCTCCATCTAGTGCAGAGATCATGGTCGTTGGGGGCATCCCCCCCAAACCTGAATAAGGTCCATGATATCCACCCTGGACCAGGAAAGCGCCCACCTTCTCCGGACCCTGGCAGGCTCCTGGGAACTGGAAAACTGGTCCTGGGGAGTGGTGGAGGGCTCGCTGCCTGTGGCTTGGTGGCTCGTGTTTTGGGGCCACTGGGTCAGGGGCAGTGACTGCTGGCTCTGGGCTGGCAGGCTTGGAGCTGGCACAGGCACTATGGCCAGAGTCAACCCCTTTAAGGGCTCTCGGGGAGGTTCTTGGTTGAGGCTGGAGTGGCCACCCGGGAACCCTGGGGAGGCTGGAGGCCCCCTATTTCGAAATAAATGTCTACAAAGCACTTATTTCAATATAGCTATTTTGAATTTGGCATTATTCCTCATGGAATGAGGTTTACCAAATTTGAAATAAGCGCTCCACTATTTCGAATTAATTTTGAAATAGTGGTTTGGCTGTGTAGATGCTGGTAAACTTACTTTGAAAAAACTTTGCTGTGTAGACATACCCTTACTGTCTAGGAATGCCATTTTGATATTTTTTAATTAGTGTATAAATATTTCTCAGAGTATTCAGCAGTACAAACCTAGGCTTGTGTGTCTCAAAACTTATAACTTTTTTCCCTCCTAAAAGGATAAAGGAACTTCCCATAACTATTTTTTTACACTAAAAATGCATGATTCAAGTTTTACCACTGAACTTGTGAACCTAAGCTACATTTTCTAAGCTAAATTAAATGTATCATTTAAAATCTAGGGGGTTTTTCCCCGCAAGAACATGAAGGGGGGGCCGTGGGAGGAAAGATTTACAAAAGTTATTGATGACAATGGAAAGTTTTTGCATCAGTGCATTCTCTTCTGTGAAATTGTACAGGCATTTATTTGATCAACCATCAAGAATATGCAGATATATCCACTTGCCTTTAAAGTGCCCATCTCTTTTATTTATATATATGTCCAGCCATAGGCGCCAACTTTCTGGGTGCTCTGGGGCTGGAACACCCATGGAGAAAAATTAGCAATTGCTCAGCGCCCACCAGCAGCCATGTTCCCCTCCCCATCCCGCTCGCACCAACACTTCTTGCCCCTAGCAGTCCTGCTGATCTACTATACCCCCTTCCTCTCAGCATTTCCCATTGCCACAAAACCGCTGTTTCACACTGTTTAGAGGCTCTGAAAGGGAGGGGGAGGACTGCAGGGGCAGAAAGAGATGGGGCAGGAAGAGACAGGGGAAGGGTTTGGGAGAAAGGGTGGAGTGGGGGCAGGGCCAAGGTTGAGCACCCCTTGGCTAGAGCAAAAGTGGACGTGTGTGTGTTAACAGGGCATTGAGCTCAGTTTTGTGGGGTATATTATTCTAATACAATATTATAATTAAACCAGGAAAAAAATAACATTCTGAACGATTCCGTCATGGCTTCACATTTTTGAGCTAAAGTATCCACGAGTCCTTTATTTAAAAATAAATTCCATCATGTTTGAGAACATGTGCAATGCATTTCAGTCTCCAAATGCAAGCTAATAGGTGTTTATAGTAAGTTCCTTCATGGGTTCAAAACTTTATCTCCAATAGTAACAAGCACCTCTAAAAGAAAAGATTTTAGCTCTACATAGCACCTCTCATATCCAGTATATTCTAAAATATTTTATAAAGTAACTAGAAGATTTACGCCACATTACTCAGGTCCTTAATTTTTGTTTTTTTTTCATTTAAATCATTGCTCTGGGGAGGGGTGTAGTGGGATGGGGGCTAAAGGGTTCAAGTATGCAGGCTGCCCCAGTGAGAGAGGATTACCCCAGTCCTCTCTCACCGCAGCTGGTTAGGACCAGGTGAAAAGTACCTGTCCATGGCTTCTGCAGCTGAGGGCGCGGGGGGGGGGGGGGGGGTGTATTTTTTTCCATGGGTGTTCCAGCCCCAGAGCATCCAGAGTCATATATATATATATAAAGGAGATGTGAACTTCAAAGGCAAGCGAATATATCTGCATATTCTTACAGATTGATCAGGTAGATAAACAGACAAACTCTCTAAAATATACAGTAGATAGCTGTCTTCCCCTCCTCCGCCCCCGGCTCCATGCTAGCTCTGTGGGATTATAGATGTCCCAATCTCCATCTGTGGCCCCTTGCTCCTCTTCTGCTTCCAACCCTTCACCCCCCTCCCCCCCAGTCATTCATCATTATAACTGTCCTTCCTACCACACTCCTTTTCCATTTTATGAGAGACAATTGAATTCCGGGCACATCCCTTGTCCTGGCACAACCAAACCCTGACCTTGCTTTAAGTTATAAGAGGAAGCTTAAATGTGTAAACAGTGGGGTGGTAACATTTGTAGATGATACTAAACTACTCAAGATAGTTAAAGACCAAAGAAGACTGAAGAACTTCAAAAGGATCTCAAAACTACATCATTGGGCAACAAAATAGCAAATGAATTTTAATGTTGATAAATGCAAAATAATGTACATAGGAAAAAGTAATCCCAACTATACATACAAAATGATGGGGACTAATTTAGCTATAACTACTCAAGAGAGCGATCTTGGAGTCATTGTCGCTAGTTCTCTGAAAACATCTACTCAATGTGCAGCAGCAGTCAAAAAAGTAAACAATTTTAGGAATCATTAAAAAAGGGATTGAGAATAAGACAGAGAATATCTTATTGCCTCTATATAAATCCATCGTACGCCCACATCTTGAATACTGTGCACAGATATGGTCACCTCATCTCAAAAAGGCTATATTGGCATTGGAAAAGGTTCAGAAAAGCTCAGCAAAAAATATTTACTTGCTCCCATAACATAAGAACTAGGGGTCGCCAAATGAAATTAATAAATAACAGGTTTAAAACAAACAACAGGAAGTTTTTTTTCATGCAGTGCCAGGCAACCTGTGGAACTCCTTGCCAGAGGATGTTGTGAAGACCAGGACTTTATCAGGGTTCAAAAAAGAACTAGATAAATTCAAGGAAGTTGGGTCCATCCATACATATTAGCCAGAATGTGTAGGAATGATGTCCCTAGCCTCTGTTTGTCAGGGGCTGGAAATAGATGACAGGAGAGTGGTCACTTGATTCCCTGGTAAATTCACTCCCTCTGTGGCATCTGACATTGGCCACTGTCAGAAGACAAGAAACTGGGCTAGATGGACCTTTGGTCTGACCCACTATGGCTGCTGTTATGTTCTTAAGCTGCATACCAAATTGGGTGGCCCTAGTTCTGACTGTTTAGGAGTTCTTGAACAAACAGACCCATGGATGGCCACACAGATAGACAGATATACAAACTCTCTAAAATACATAGTCAATTAAACTACTAGTCTGGTGGCTATATAATCTGATAAAATTCACAGATAGAAAAGGTTTTTCTGAAAAGGGGAAAAGTTGTTCAGGATAACTGCATTCTCTCCAGCTCCAGGATAATTGTTATTGAAGATTATCCTCTATAGGTGGAGCTAACGGTGACGTTACCGTTAAGGTGGCTTCATAGTTTGCCAACAGGGGCTTATATATACAAACTCTCTAAAATACGTAGTCAATTAAACTACTAGTCTGGTGGCTATATAATCTGATAAAATTCACAGATAGAAAAGGTTTTTCTGAAAAGGGGAAAAGTTGTTCAGGATAACTGCATTCTCTCCAGCTCCAGGATAATTGTTATTGAAGATTATCCTCTATAGGTGGAGCTAACGGTGACGTTACCGTTAAGGTGGCTTCATAGTTTGCCAACAGGGGCTTATAATGCACTCTCCTGTGCTTTAGCCATCTGGGCTATGCTTGCTCACTGCCTCAGACTGAATTATTTTTGGAATGTTGTAATGAAAATGGTTGTCGTTTCTGCAAATGAGGTTAGTGAAAATGACTTTGTT